TAGGTTTCCTCAGAAGCCGCCTTCCCTGCTGCATCTCTGACTGCCTAGCCTTGCCCTTGTCAGACATCCCTGTAATCACTCTTCTTTTGCTATCTACTGCCCACTCTCCAAACATGGATTTCCTTCATGTTAGAGTTTATATCTGGCCCATCTTTACAGCCTTTAGCACAGGAAGTACTCAGAAATCCTTGCTGAAGGTTGCATGCAGGAGCAATAGAGAGAGAAACTGGAAGGCTTCCCAGGCCACTGAGCCTTGTCCAGTGTAACTCTCCAAAATAAGTACTTGACTGCCTTAATTCCACATTTTAAAAAATCAAAGGAAGATATTCATGAAAATAAAACATTGTGCTTGGTGGCTCACGCCTGTAATCCTAGCTACTCAGGAGGCTGAGATCTGAGGACCATGGTTCAAAGCAAGTCCTGGCAGGAAAATTCCTGATATGACACTCTTATCTCCAATTAACCACCTAAAAACTGGAAGTGGAGCTGTGGCTCAAAGTGGTAGAGCACTAGCTTTGAGCATAAAAGCTCAGGATCAGTACCCAAGTCCTGAGTTCAAGCCCCAAAACTGATTAAGTAAATATTTGTTTAAAAATTAAAATTGGGACTGGGAATGAGACTTAGTAGTAAACTGCTTGCCCAGCTTGCATGAAGCCCTGGGTACGATTAACATAAACAGAAAAAGGTAAAAGTAGCACTGTGGTTCAAGCAGTAGAGTGCTAACCTTGAGCAAAAGAAGCTGAGGGACAGAGCCAAGGCCCTGAGTTCACCCCAGGACTGGCAGTAAATGAAAGAAAGAAAAGAAAGAAAGGAAGGAAGAAAAGAGAAAAAGAAAGAAAGAAGGAAGGAAGGAAGGAAAGCTGGACGCCAGTGGCTTACACCTGTAATCCTAGCTACACAGGAATCTGAGCTCTGAGACTGTTATCTCCAACAAACCACCAGAAAACCTAAAGTAGTGCTGTGGATCACGTGGTAGAGCACTAGGCTTGAACTGAAAAGCTAAGGGACAGCACCCAGGCCCAGAGTTCAAGCCCCACAACCAACCAACCAACCAACAAATAAATAAATAAAATTGAAGGGAGAGAGAGGAGTGAAATTTTTTTCTTTTATAAAGAAGAAATGGGAGAAAAAAATCAACTGGAGAGAATCATTTCAATAAGCCTTAAAAAATCTGGAATTGGAATTGAAATGTAAAGTTTCCAGATTCATTGAAATTGATAAATCACACAAAGTATGTGGATCTCAATATAAGATTATATCTAAATTATATGGACCCACAAAATGACTTACTTGAAGAAACCCAGTGGCTAGTAAAACTTAATAGAAGAGATATTGAAGATTGTGATGCTGCCATTTAAATCAAGAGGCGAAAGTCTGGCACATCCGTTTGTGCTGCAAGGATTTCGGGACTGGGCAGGCCGTTTCTGTTTCTGGCCCAGTGTCAGAGCTAAAGGTTTCCTTTGTGACATGCTGCCACCTTGTGTCAGGCTTCAGTACTGCACCAGAATGCACTTGCCTTTATAAAAACATGTCTCACAGGATGCTAGGGCTCACGTTGAAATCCTAGCTACTCAGGAGGCTGAGACCTGAGGATCATGGATTCAAAGCTAGTCCAGGCAGGAAGCTCCGTGATACTCTTATCTCCAATAAACCATCAGAAAATCGGAAGAGGCACTGTGGCTCAAGTAGTAGAGTGCTAACCTTGAGCTAAAGAGCTCAGGGACAGCACCTAGGCTCAGAGTTCAAGCCCCATGACCCACCAAAAAAAAGTCTCTTCTGGGGCAGCTTCTCTTTGATATAAGTCAGCCCCAGCCAGCACCATCCAGGAGGCTTAGTAAACAAAGGTAATGCCAAAAGGCTGAACAGACCCTAGGTCTCCTTGGCACAGGCTGAAATTTTCTTAATAGGGACCCAGAAACACAACAAATCAAGGAAAGATTGGACAAATGGGATTGCATGAAATTGCAGAGCTTCTGTATGCCAAAGGACATAGCTAGCAAGATCCATAGAAAGCCCACAGATTGGGAGAAGATCTTCACTAGCCATATAACAGACAAGGGTCTCATATCTAAAATATAACTGGAACTCAAAAAATTAAATCCCCCAACAACAAATCCTCAAAGAAACAACTGCCCAATAAATAAGTGGGCTAAAATCTTAAAGAGAAACTTTTCTGAAGAGGAAAGAAGGATGGCCAATAGACACATGAAGAAATGCTCAACCTCCCTAGCCATAAAAGAAATACAAATCAAAACAACATTGAGATTTCACCTCACTCCAGTTAGAATAGCTAAAATCAAGAACTCTAATAACACCAGATGCTGGAGGGGATGTGGACAGAAGGGAACCATACTGCATTGCTGGTGGGAGTATAAACTTGTTCAACCACTTTGGAAAGCAGTATGGAGGTTCCTCAAAAGACTCCACATAGAGCTCTCCTATGACTCAGCAATCCCACTTTTGGGCATTTACCCAAATGTTTACAAACAAGACCACACTAAAGCTACCAGCACAACTATGTTTATTGCA